AAATATTTTCATAGTCTGCGGAAGTCTATAAGGCTATTCATATCACTTTTAAATGATTTTGATTATGTTTTTACCAATTAATGTCTCCTTGTTTAACTCTAAAAATCTAAAGAAAAAAGCAATTATTTTTTTTATTCTAAGAATTCAATTTAGCTATATCAATGTGTCTTATGTCAAGATTACAAGAGTTCTTTTTACTATATTTAAAAAAATTAACCCAATAAAACTGTAAAAAAATATGACTTAAAAGCTAAACTTTCTATAATGTTTTTATTATTAAATACAAAAAATTTAATTTTTTTCACGCCTTTAACTTTCTGAAGTCTAAGGTAGAAATTTGGTAAATATTTTAATCCTGGGTCATAAGATTTCAAGAAAACTGGTTATTATAGCTTGAGTGAATTTTTCTTCTCTGGATTGAGAGGAACCTCAAAATAATTGTATATTGTAAGCTAAAGTTAATTTTAACTAAAGTAATAATAGAATATTCATAATATTAAATTTAAAAAAATTTAATAAAAATGTTCTTAAAAAAATAAAAAATATATATCAAAAGTATTTTAAAAAAAGAAAAGGGTAATAATCATATTTAGTTAAAAAATAATAACTGTGTATAAAATACAATAAAAAAAAGTTAAACAATAATAATAATGAATTACAAATATAATATATAAGGGAAATAAGTTATTAGTATGCACAAGCATATAAGAAATAATAATCTAGTTAGCAAGGAATTATTTAGGTGAAAAGTTCTTTTACTTTAAATATATATATATATATTTTTCCAAGTAATTTTTAATATTGATTTAATTATTATTTTATTACAGCATTGATATATAATTGCTTTATTTTTTTTTGCTGCAAAATATTTTTATAGGCCCTTGGAAGCCGTCACTCATTCGGCCTTACTATTGAAGATGAAAATTAATTTTTGTCATTAAATTTATATAAAATAAAATTAACTTAATTTTTTTGCAGTAAAATTTATAATCGGTTTTGCATAGACTATAAAAGTTTTTCTTTACATCGTGAATTATTTTAAAATCAGTGTAATAATTATTTATTATAAGTTGATATAAAATTAATTTTTAGGTGATAAATAAATTTTACACTGACTTTACTATATTTTCTTTTAAATAAAAATTATAGTTTTTACTTTCCGTCAAAGGAGTTAAAGGAAACCTTTTTCAGTTGAAATAAATCTTTGTAGAATACTTAATGTATTAGCAAAAGAAAATATTACTTTAAAATAATTTTTTTAAGTTAGCTATTTACTATAAAATTTAGTAAAAGTCATTTTAATTTACATTGGGATGTACGTCTAGTTTATATATTTTAACTTTATAGGAAATTTATCGTTACTATAAAAATATTAATTTAATTTCCCGCAGTACCCACGGGTGGCACAATAATATCACAACTAAATTCTATATTTTCTAGCTTTCCATTTATTAAATAATTATCGAATTAATTATATTTGTCAATTGTTTTGAATATCCGGTGGCATTGCCTTTTTAATTTACTACAAATGTATCATCCTTGGGCCAACCTTCTACCATACTAGAATCAGCTGCTTCATAAAGTTGATAGTTTTGAGCGACGTTTTAAGCTTGTAATCCATTATCACTATACTCAGTATAGCTTGTGCTTTTCTCTTACAGAGGTTAAGCTGTTTATATATACCGCACACAGAGAGTATAATAAGACAGATGCCTCACGTAGCGAAGACGAGAATGAGAAAGAAAATCAGGGTGAATACTAAACACAACTCTTTGTTTTATTTATTCTCTCTTTTTAACTGTTTATTTTACATTTTCTTTATAGTTAGATCTATTTTGTATCCTTTTTTTCAATTGCCCAAGTTTATAACCCTTGAAGATGGTCTCGTTAAACATTGCTCATTTAAAACGGTATAAATTTTAAGTGCCATTGTAAGGAACAAGTATTAAATATGATCTTTTTAATGCTTTCTATTTATATTATTTACATATTATAGAAAAGACTCTCTAGTAATTTTATCTTCTAAACATAAGCACAAGTTTTTCATTTGAATACCCGAGAGATTGTTTTCCACGTTGGAAATAGTCAAGATTGCGGACTGTAGAGCGTTTTTGGTTTCTTCACGAGCTCCTCCCGATGAATTCGGAGGACTATTCATAAAATATTTGCTTGCATGTGGAGTGCCGTTTCTGTTACTTATTCAGGTTTAATAGAATTTTCAGTTGCTGTTATATTTGTATTCGTCATATAAAACTAATAGGGCTTAACTGAAATTCCTATGAAAGTCACAAAGGAATCTAACATTTATAAAAATTACATTTATACTCATTTTTAAAAAGAGAAACTTTTGACTTTGGACAGCGAGTTAGAAATTCTCCAGTATAATTTATTTTATAATATATTAAATTTTTTGTTTCACAGCATCTCTTTTTAAACGACATCTTTCTCACATGAAAAGAAAACAGCTTTCTTATAGGAGTCATCGTTTTGTTCTTGTTAAAATATTAATTACATCTCAGAATTTCAATCTTTGACTGTTACTGGTGATAACTTTAATTTTTAAATTATTTTTAAAATTTATATAATGCTTGGATTAACTTTAGGATATATCCGAGGCGCGCCGTGAATTGTTAATCACTTTGTTAGTCATAGAAATTACGGAAATTATTTTGTTGAGAAAGTTGTGCAGGCTTCGGGTTCTTTATTGATTACAAAAGTTGAGTTTATTATAAAATTTACTCCATAAAGTATGGAGAAGTTGGAATTTTGATTTTATTTGTAAATAAATTCTAGCTTTCTGCGAATAGTCCGACAGAATTTGTAGTACTACTTATCCCGCTTTGCAAGAATACTTGATTACTAAAGGTCACTTAAATATAAGTAATATTGCAATAAAATTTATATGCTTTCTTTAATGCCCGCTGATTTTTTAAATTATAAAATTAGTTTAATTTGTTCTTTTACTATGTATTATATATAGTTATGCGGATTCAGTAGAATTGAATCAACAGAGACTCAGTAATGGAGATTCTACAGAATTTAAAAATGATTAAAAAACTTCTAAATTTTTTTCAACGAAAAATACTTTGCTGGTCCCAAAAGGTATAGATTTTAATTAAATTAAATGAGAGCATTTACTTTGGTTTTGCAAGTGGTCAGGTACTTCCTCCCATCAGGCTACGTAGGTTGACGATTACAGGCGCTCCGAAGACGAAAATGATCTTCCTTTAGATATTGGTTAAATGGCAATAAAAATTAATTAATTTTTGGTTTTAGTTTTTTTTTGTGCAGAGGAGTTTCAATAAGTTAACGAAAAACTTAATTGTTACTAGTTTGCTTATAAATTTTAATACAAGAGTTGTAGTTTTTTTAAAACACTCAATACAGATAAAAAATTTTGGATCAGGATGAAAAAGTTGAAAATTTTCATATCTTCAGCGACGAGGCTGATAAGTACGTTGAAATTGGATGATCTAGCAGCCCTTGAAAAGTTGAAAAGCGAAAAAGTCATGAATGATCTGCAGTTTTCCGGCGATAACACTCCTCTTGGCCCTCCCGCCAGAATTCGCTTTCGAAAATTTGGCCATCGCCTCTTGTTAATATTAACATCATTTATTTATTTTTTTCTGTAAGGCTATCGAGGTTTGCAATATTTTCTAGATACTCCGTGGAACTCGGAAGAAAATTTACCTTTGGAGTACTCCAGAAGCTTAAAGATTTTTTTAATACCAGTAGAGAATTGCTGAATTTAAATTAAAAATTACTTAAGTAAAATTATATATAATTTTGCTTTAAAGTAAAATTTCTTTGAGTTTGTTAACTTTGACTCGGCGTGCTCAGCAGCTAAAAAAGGAGTGCGGGACGGGATGGTAGTTGACTCTTAGGTTACTGTTTACCTGCGCATCGTTTCAAGGGAAGTATCGGTCAGTCCTTATTAGTAATTGGCAATTTTATATTAAATTAAAGCTTTGCCGTTTGTGCTAAATTATTTTTTGCGATTCGACATAAAGCGACTGTATTGAATATTCTTCTCAAGCACGTGCAGAGCAACTAGATCACAGTAAAAAACAAAGTAGATAAAGATTCTCAAAGCGCGGCTTATTTGCCTTTATCGATAACCACATAATATGACGCTCTTGTTTTCCTCATTCCGCATTTAATGTTCAGAGCAAGCACGCCCTTTTCCCAGCACACGCGTTGCAAACAAGCACAAGCTGGAGAGGTTTGCTCAAGTATTGGCGTAAACTTGCTCTCGTACTTTTGCGAACGAGGTACTTCCACTCTTAACATCCATTAGTCAAGGCCCCAATCCACGCGCCCTATCATTACACGCCGTGCCCGGTATTGGGTACAATTTCTACCAATGGTAGGGCACAGTGTACTTGACACATTTTACTGAGTAGCTTTTAATATTGGCGACCATGGGGCCCTTGCACTCTTAGCAACCGGCCGCGTGAGGTCAAGCGATCCGGACCAAATCTTTTTATTTTTTAATAATGCGAATAGTAGTTAAGTTTTAGCGTTACTGCAGATCCTCAAACGCCTTATTTTGACGGGCGACGTTACAAGATTTATGCCCAGTCTTGTGTTTGAGGTTTCTCTATTTTTATAGAGGTGGTTTTTAACGGATTATTAGTAAGAGGGATCCCAATTATTTCTTACGGCAGGTGAAGTGAATTAGTTTGAACTGGAATCAAAGTATTTAAAGGGGTTTATTCTGGTGTCTTTAGGCACTCATGGCACCCGATTGTGGTATATAGGCGCCTTTAGCCTTCTTGTCGGCCCCCCCAAAGGCTACATGAAGTGTGCCTTCAATGGAAGTCTGCCTGGCGAAGACACCGTTTACTTGAAACTCTATAAAAGGGTCTTCCCCGATTGGGCCTTCCGGCCTCTTGTAGTAAATGATTTTTCGCTGTTTATGCCACTGGTTCCAAATGCAACTGATTTTTGATTGGACGGACTACCGTAGAATGCACAAGACTGGAAAGTCACTTTTATTTAGCTCAAGTGATCTACAATTATGCCAATATGTCTGACAGACTGATCACGCCAACTGCTTTTAAGTGTTCGTTGAAAGTAATTAACCTACAAACAGAAAAAGAACGTTAACTGCTTTTGTTATTTTTTTAATGCTCAAAAAAAATAATTTAAAAAATTAAAAAAAAGCCAACCGATGCACTCCAGCGGCGAAGAAATTTTCAAGGCAGTTCATCAAACTGTCTTGAGGCACAACACTGGTAGCCGGATGCCATTCCTGCATGGCCGAGTTTTATAAACATACGAGGCTTGTGCTACAAAAGCCACCACCATCAGCGTCTTCCGGCTATTAAGCTAACGGAAGCCTCGCAGAGAGGAGTAAGCGAGAAAGAACACAGGCTTTGCCCTCTATGATTCCTTTGTGAAGGCAAATTTTCTAGCAAATTGCAAACTTTCGCTTCAGCTTTATTACTTTCAAAATCTCGACTGCTTAGAGATCCAATAGCCGCAATTTTTCGTATACAACCATACCACTTACATTCTATTTGGTTATAAAAAAATTAAAAAAATTAGAAAATTATCCCTTATTTCTTGAACTACAAAGAATTGTGTATAGATGACTTCGTGTAAGTGATAAAATACGAATTATAAAACTTCGGTTATATTTAGCTGGAAAGCACCCAGCGCCGTATTGGTTTCTCCGCACCTCACACAACTTTTTACTTGTGTTATAAAAATCGTAAACTTCTAGGTGGAGACAGCTTGACTAAAATAGTTTGTTTTTTCTTATAAATTATAGTAAAGCTTTAAAGGTATGGCAACACAGCGTTCTATTCCGCTCTACCAAAAAAAGTATTATAAACAGTTTTTATTATAACAGTTATTGTAATGACTGGAAAAAAATAGTTGCATCTACCTTTGTGTAGTGTCTACAGTAGCAACACGACATGCCTTTTCAGCTTCCAAGCAAACAATTTAAGGGCAACCTTGAAAATACGCTTGCAACTTGCAATCAAGCAGTTGGCGAAATACAACTTACAGCAAGTGTAGTGGTGGCGGCCACTTCAATAAAAGGATTCCTTGAAAAATCTTATAGTTAACATATACGATAAGGTTTGTGGCTATTAATGTTAATTTAATAAGTGAATTGTAACTGAAAGACAGAGGCTCTAGTTAGTTATTAAAAAGGAAGTTAACGAAGTCAAGATGTAAAAACCGGTAACTTTCCTTAAGTCTATGTCTGCCAGAAAATTTATTATCAATACGATCTTCCTGACTTTCCTTAATAAATGTTTTCCCGTAATTATTAAATATACAACGAATGATATCCATCGATGGTCTGTTTAAAGTCAATAAGCTAAAGTTTATCTATCTAAAGATAAAAAAAGTATTTAACTAAGAAAACCAAGATATTTTCCTAAATTTACATCAAAACAGGTGCCGACAGGATGACCAATTTTCTAAAGTCTATAAGTCGATATATATAAAAATTTTGTAATTGTTAATTTGACTTTTTTTATAAAACTCACCACTGAAGCTTGTCATGTACTGTGGTGAACGTCTAAAACAACAACTTTGGATGTTTTAATTCGTTATCAGAAACGGTGTAATCAATTAAAGAAAAGTTCAATTTGAACTAATACAGAGGATTCGGACTTCTATTACACTTATTAGTTGCGAATGGCATTCTTTATGCTCGATCGCGTTAAGAATAGACGTGCTATCGGACAGTTTTAGTGATTCAATAAACAAAAATATACCCCCTTTGCGTTCGCTTTGGAGACACACCTTTGTAACTGGTTACCATCGCTCGGAGTGCGTTACAGCGGAGACCCGTAAATAAGGTTTGCTACTATAAAATGACCGGATGATCTGCGTTTCCAGCTCTTCGTTCTTTAGGGACTTCAGCATTGCTTCTAAAACTAAGGCACATGACGACCCTTGTTCGCGGCGCAGTGGGGAATTACGTACAACTTTCAGCGCGAACTTCAGGAGGGCAGGAGTTGATTTTTCTCACTTGTAGCGGAAGGCTTTCATAAAGGGGTCTCAGGTCCAAAAAGCATACAATCTTCGCTTTGCAGCACAAGAGAAATTAGCTTTATGTATTTCACATGAGTACGACATGATATATTAAAAATAAACGACCTCTTACTACTTTTATCGACTTTTTTGGCCGTAAATGGTTAACAAATCGGCAGAGCGCAGTGTTTTTTTTTTGGTTATGAGAAGCGCCTTGTTCTGTTGAATTTAATCCATGAATGGTGAGGTTTTAATGACGACGAGTAAAACAATGATTACCGTTATTTACTCAAGTTGGCTAGGCAGCACCAAAAAAAAAGCCATCGATGGCAGTTGTTTTCAGCATTTTAGTAGTGTTGCCGTCTTAACTTTGTGGTAATCGTTCAGACCACGTCTGTGGCAGTCAGCCCTAGATCTCGGCTATATTGGGCTGAAAAAAGCTGGCACAAGGAACGCGTCTTTAGCAATTAAAGGTTTTAGGCGGTATACCCTGGGAAGCAAAGAGCTTTATAATGTTTTTTTTCATGGCGTTCAGCTATAATACTGCCATTTTGTAGTGGCAGCCGTGGTTGCTTGCTCCGACATATCGTTCATAGTGACCTTCCATATAAATAGTTTAGGGTACAGCAGTGAGCATCTCCTTAAAGTGCCTGTGTATGCGGTTTAGCACCAGTTCGTACCCAACATTCAAAGACCATGATCGCTTAAATGAGGCACTTCTCAAAGTGTCGGTTAAAACTGTACTTAACTTCACTCATCGTCGTTGCGACGGTTTGGGCTGGTGTTACTGCAACTGCAATGCTGTCAGCAGCGTTCTTCAGTAAAGAGGGTATTGTTAGTAGCGACAGAATTGGCGGGGTGAATTTGCTCAATTGTGAAAGGATAATACAATACCTTTATAGTCCCTTTTCCATCCTCCGTTCGAGCAGGACCTGCATACCGGCGACAGTTTCATCAAGCATACCACTATATGTTTGGAAGCACCCCGCATCCAATGGCATTGGCCTTAAGGTTGTTTAACCGGAAGATGAAAGTAGTCTGCTTGAGGGGCCTATTAATAACTGCGGAGGCCCCTTTAACTGCACTATCAAAGGTTAAGCTCCATCCAATGCTACTAGTAAACAGCTTTCTAAGAGTTGTAAGCTAGTAGCTCAGGATAGTCTTATTAAATATGTTAACTTTTTAAGTAAGTTTTGTTTTATCGTTAGTGGCTCCTTAGCATCTAAATAATCTTTATTTAATTTTTTGTTCTCCCAGTGACATATTTATTACAAATCCAGCGTTTGGTTTGTAGCATCATCAATGTTGGAGGGAAGGATCTCAAACTAGTTTATTTCTAGTCAACATAAATAATATCTTTATTACATAATTTTATGCAGCTTTTTATATATTGGCACAGTTTCTAAGTGCCGTCCTTGGATTAAAAAGAGCGGTAAGTTATCTTTTATCAAAAAAGGTAAAGGGCTATAATGATGAGCAAAATATATAGTCAACTGAATTACTAGCAATATAATAATTGATAAGAAATACTAGTTGGTTTATTTTTATAGTATGCCCAATTTCAGTAAGAATTCGAGTTTACATTAATAAGATCCAATATACATATTAAATATTGTATTTAACGAAGTTGTTCTAAAAATATTTTCAAAAGGTATTGGTTGCTACAACTTTATTGCGAGCATATTCTTGACTACTCGCTCTTTGTAACTTCAATTTAATTATTATAGACTTAATGTACAAATTAATAATTATTTAATAAGTTGATTTATGCAAATTGTTGTCGACTGGTTAATGATCTTATAGTTGTTTTTTTGTTGTAATTAAAATATTTAAATACTAATGCAATAGAAGTACAAATCGTATTAAACGAATGAAAAATTTACAACTAAAAGTTAGCAACTTCGCTTTAAAAGGCTACAATTTACAAGGTTTCTTTAAGTCTTCTATCAATAACTACGCCCAGCTAGAGAGTAAAAGTGTAAGAACATTAACTTTATCGGATAATCATGTTTTTAAATCCAATCTTTATGCATGTTTACTAGATTTGGCTTTAGCAAGTTATACTTCCGAAGGTATTATAATATTACGAAGATAAATTCCCAATTTTATTAAATATTCCAAACAACTGTAACATTTGTATAAACGTATACAATCTTAAAAAAGCAATAAGCAATGCATATAAAATATTAAGTTTCAAACAAATAACAATTTGTACCTTTTTATTATTCACCAGAATTTATAAAAAACGCAAAAAAAAAAATAATATCAACAAGTGCTATAGAAAATTTTTATTTTTTCTTTTTCTCTTAACCTATTAAATTTTTCAATGAAGTCCAGCTGGTTTCCATAACATCATCCCAGAAAGTAAAAAATGGTTGCGATAAGTTGCAGCTATAAAAATAAAAAATATATATTCATCATAACCACCATTCATGCATGAAAACCATGATCCAAAAAACGTGAAGAATGCTCAATATATAGAATACTATAAAAAATATTTTACTTTTGAAATATTCGAAGAAAAAAATGCTTCATTCTTACATATAATATTTTTTATAATAAAAATGTATCGCCAAAAATTGCTGTGACTCTTAACTATACTTTGCTCTCTGCAGCGCGTGCTTACCGCAATCCCTTAAAAAACTTGTTTTTTAGTGAATTTTTTATGTCTATTTCATAATAAACTTGTAATGGGCTTTCATACTATTTTATTTATTGATTTTTTTTATGTTACGTTAATAAAGTGGAATAAATATAATATTTATAAGCAAAAATGCAGCGAATTATTTTTAAATACTGCAAAGGGATTGACTGGGAAGAGCAAATTACATCAGCGATTAAAGGTGTCTTCAAAGTAGAAAAGCATGCAAACAAAAGAGCAGTTGATTGGTGTTCTTGAGGGTTGAAATGCCACGACTCCACCGAGCGTGTCCATAAAAAAGCCTTAAAAATATATTCATAAAAATATTTTCATAATAACAAAAAAATAAAATAAAGTTATTTATTATAAAAAGTTTATATTTATACAAAATTTAAGTCAACTTAGAAAAAATAATCATAGGGGTTTCACTTCTATAACAAAAGAATAATAAAAATCGTATATATAAATAATACTACAGTTATTTATATTTATTTTGAATAAGATTAAGAAAATCTAAAAAACTTAGATAATTTTAAAAGAGTAAATAACAAAAATTTTAAATTATTATTAACTAAATTAACTTAAATTTTTTAATATTTTGTTTATATAAAAAAAGTTTAGTGCTTAAGTGTAAGTAAAAATATAAGTAAATTCTTAACATAATAAGAAGTACACAAAATTCTTAAAAACGATTTATAATTCAAGTTTATTAAAAAAATGTTAAAAAAAATTCGAATTATTGATTTGATTTTTAATTACAATATAAAAATTATTATAAACATTTATAACCTTCAAAAGGATGATTGTAAAGAGCTCCAAGAGAATAAGGGCAATAAAGTCAACGATGCCAAGAATGAAAGTTATTATAAGAAATTTATTAGTATGAGCCCAGCTAATTAAGTAAAAAGTAAAAAATAAATATATATAATGAATTTAATGTAGTTCAGAAATTAACAAATATATATGTTTAAAAAATTAATTAAATCTCCAAAAATATAATATATAGTGCCGATGAAACCAATATTGTAGCTTTTATACTAAATTTAAAATTTTTAAAAAAAAATTAGAAACTCACCTCCACTAAAGGTCCTTCAAAAGCTATAAAGCTAAAAACTTCAAAGGAACATGTTGAAAAATAACCCACTTTCTGACTTCCCTTAAACTAACTCGATTTTTGTCTTCTACAGATTTTTGAAGTATTCTAAGTGATAATAAGTAATATATATACACTAGCAAACGATACCTATAGAATGGAATATTTATAGTTCTCGTATATAGTCATTAATAAAAATTGCAATTGATATTACTATTACGGCTCAGTTTTTTTAATTTTTAATAAGTTAACGATCTAGAGATACAATAAAATAAAAGCTAATGTAATCCACCTCCAATTTTCAGAAACTTTAATAGACAAAAATAGATGTAGAAGAATTCCTGAAACGAGAAATAAAATTTGGCGATGGTATAGGCATTAAAGCTCCTACAAAAGATTTAATATTTCTTAATATAAATATTATTACTTAAAGAGTATAAAGTAAAGAACACCTACAAGGCAGAAGGGTTCACCACTTTACAAAGTCGCAGCTTTAATGATAAACACTAATAGTTTTCTTGATAATTGTGCAAACCAGATTAACAAGAAACTATTGGATAGCTTACTGTAAAATATATTATTAATTTGTCCTCAGCATCCTCTCGGTTAGCCAATGTTTATTTTATTGGATAAAATAATTTTCTTCTAAGCAAATAGCTAGCCAATTTACTACTCAGGATATTTGTTCAAATGAAGAATGGCACTTTGAAACAATTATAAGGTATTCGTTATATATTAAATAATAAAGCAAAAACGCGTAATGTGATAACCTTAATGTTCAAAAGTTTGTTAAAGAGTCTAAAATATTTTTTCGTTTTTGTTTGCTTGGAGCTTTACTTTAAGAAAACGAATTCAACTATATATGTTCGTCAAGTTTTTAACGCTAGTAATTTCCTATCTTATTTAGTATTTTGTTATGTTAATTTTGAAGTATGAGTAATCAATTAGAAGATCTAGTTAAACTTGGCTATTATTTGGTGAGGTGCCGATTTTATATAGTATATACGCGGTTGTATATTACATGATTTTTTTAAGTGGATCAAGGGTGCGGATGTAAAGCAACATAATTAAACAATATTCTTTTTTTCGCAAACTTTTTAGCTTTAAGTTTTATAGTTTAACTTAGAGATTACGCAGAGAGAGCATAATTAACAACTAAAAAAGTCTTTACCAAAATGAAAAGTCAGACTATAGCATTTTTATTTAATTTTTGTGAATGTGAAGTTCATATCTATCCCGGAACTAATTTGTCCTAGAAGTCTGGACAGCGTCATTTTCTATTGTTGACGCTATTGAAAAGATTAAGTTCAGGAATTACTTATGGCAGAAAGGATTTAACAACAGGGACTTAAAGATAAATTCTCGCTAAGGAGTCGTGCATTAAAAAGTAGTAAGCAAGTATTGTTTAAAAAGCTTTTTAACCTAAGGAATTTTAGCACAAAGCAAATATACTTCTATGGCATTCTGACCCTTAGCATTTTTGTTAAAGCTCGTTTTATCTAATATATACCCTGACGCTTGTAAATAAGAGGTCTAGTTTGTTAACATGGAGGGCGATATTAAAAAAACAAAAATGTGAAAAGTAACTAACGATTTAAATGTAAAGTTTTCTAATTTTTAACATTTATATAAGTGATATACTGCAAAAAAAGTTTTTAATAAGTTTTAAAGAAAATGAGGCTGAATATTAAAGTTTTAAAAGTTCGACTGAGTTTTAGATTCATTATTGTTTATATATGTAGGATTTTAAGGCTTAATTATTTTCTGGAAAAGTTAACTTCTCATAAAAGTCTTTATTTTTTGTAAAGGAGGGCATCCTACTTAACCCTCCTTCTGACGAGGGAATATAGATTAAGCAGTTTAAGTTATAACAGGTATAACGGCTGTAGTACGTCTAAACGATAAATTAATAAACAATATCAACATTCTTTTTACCGATTTCAGTGCGCTTGTGTAGTTCGCTAAGAGCAATTGGTTAATTTTTCTACTGTTAGACAGTAATTACCTATTCAGACGAAAGGGGCATATTTTAAGCCTTTTAAACATATTATTTTGAGCCTGACATTATGCTACTATTTATAATAATGAAGATTTTTTCTATTTAATAAGTGGTGTTTAAGAAAGTAGGAAAGTATCTATTAACGAGATGATAAAGAATAGAAGTATAACTTATTCAAACCTTTAACTGGTACGAACATAACGTTTGGTAAACTGGAGGATTAAAGAGTTAAGAATGTACCCGACTTATGTGCAGAAAATATAAGTAAAATTTTCTTATAGACCCTTATTATGAGACATATAACACTCAAAAATAAATTTAAATAATTTAAAAAATCCTTGAAAAAAAGTTTTTATATGTCCACAGTTTGCAATATTCATATACACGTTCATACTAAATAAGGGTTGAACGCTTAGTATTTATAGACTTTTATACTCTATTGAAATTCCTCGTAGTATTTTTTTTTATATTTATTTTATTTACAATTTTTTTAATGATAAAGTAGAACATACAAAGTTGTCTTACATTCCATAATACTCGGACCCGCCCCTTCTTTTTCTAAGCTACCACCCCTTTCAACCTCAAATTAGTGCACGTGGTCACCTAATCATTTTTGTCAGTCCTTTCAAATATATACGCTATTCCTACATGCACAGGGAGAAACTCGTTGTGTTTACTTTCTTCATGGTTTGGGCTCCCCTTTCTTATCACGGGGATCTGTTCTGGTCTCTTGTCCGTAAAGGATCTGTTTATTCTGTTCTAGTTATCTGTTGTTCTTTTTGTGTTTTTTTAGTCTGTCCGTCTTTGTTCTGATATACTTGTTTTTCCTTTTATTGTCTCATATTTAATAAAGTCGTTAACATTTATTTGTCTATTGGATATTATTCTTATACACAAAGCACAGCCATCTTCATAGAAGTGACCTTATCTTTTGGCGCGTTACAATACTTGTTCGATGTAATTACAGTCAATGAAGTGCTAGTTGCTTTGATAACTTGTTGGCGCACGAGTAAACCACAACTTTTTTTATCAAAAAAAATGGTTACAAATAGTATATGTCAAATAATACTAAATTGCACCATTTACATATATGTATATATACCTATGTTAATAAAAAAAAAGGTATATATAAAATGGAGATCATAATGTAAACAAATGCGCACTTCGCCAATTTAACTAAATTATAGTCCAACCTAAGTGTAGATGGTGTGATCCACTACAGTGCACAGTTAAAAATAGGAGATTTCCATGAACTGAAGCGTATACGTTTTGCGCCAAATCTATTTAGATAATACTAAAACTGTGTATTTATTTTAACCTTAATAAATAAGAAATTGTTTCTGTTTTTGTTATATAGAGTTCGTTCAGTCTATAGGGCTGAATTTTTTGTGTTGTTATAACCGACTATAGGAGAGTTTAAAAGAAAGCTTAACGTCTAGGAGACGTGTGAAATCAAAAGCTTGATAGCTTCCAAATGATTATTAAATAGACAAAAATTTTATTTAACACAAAGCAGTATACGCTTGATAGTAATGGGCATTTGCATAAATCATTAGATAATAAAGAAGGTCATCTCGCTCTCTGCTTCCGTTTCTTCGTTTGTAATTTGGTCGGTAGCTAATATTAATTGTTATAGACTTTAGTCTACAGGGCTTGAATGTCAAAGACATTGATCGTCTATAGGGCGATCCTTTATTAATTAATTATTTAGAAATCATTGTTTTTAACAATATAATCAATGGAAATATTTATAATGGATTTAGGCTTTATTTTACAATTACATGGCCTTATAATAGTAACTTAAAATATATTGATTTATCAACGAACAATTATGGAAGGGTAGTGCTCTCTAAAAAACAAGCAGTTTCGCTGTTTAATCAAGCTAGAGATAGCCGATTGTTGTGAATATGGTTACACTGTCCAGATCTCTAGACCGCTCGTCAAGGGTGTAGAACCACGAGATTACTACAATGAGATTTTATTTAGTTAGCATAGTTATAATTGTTATAACATTATAAATAGTGATGAACAGTAACTATTTAACAAACTTTTTAGTAATCACTGCTACGTTCCTAAAGGAACAACTGCTTAGTTAGTGGTAATTTTTACTTTACCAAAGTACAGATAACAAATTAAGTATTTCAGGAAAAGAAAATATATTAAATAAAGAGATAATAAAGAAGTCCCCTCTAGTCCGTATAAGTTATTTTTAAAAAGGCTAAGTTTTACATATATTTTGTATATTAGCTTTTTATTTAAATGGAATCTTTCGAAAGTTAGGGCCCCAACCGCGTAGTTCTTACGAGTTGGCGGTTACGCTAAATCATTGAAATTGGCATAAAAGGAGGTAGCAAGTTTATTCAACTATTCTGCAACTAGACTCAAAATTCAAAAACAAAAGAGACTGGGCATGAATTTCTTTTTTATCCTTTTATTTATAATATTTCCTGGTTTTCAATCAGTTCGTGACAAAACACTAAATTTATGACCTCTCAACAGGGTGGTTCAGTACACATTAGCTTTAAGCTTGCTTTCAAGCAATCTCTTAAATATATATATCATAAAAATAATTTCACCCCTCAACCGAATATATTTAAAGCCATTGCGCGGTCAGCGATAGCTTGCGCCGTTCCAGATTTTAACCTCATTTGTCATTGAGCCGAGCGTATATGGCGGTAACATGGTAATACAATAACACAATATACACAACGCCGAAGACACTATTTGAAATATAAGACAAAATAACAGAAATAAAAAAACAAAATAAACATAGATTACAAAAAAAGATTGCATAATACAATCTTTATAAAGTACACAATAGTAAGACACAAAAATACAAACAAAAAAAGACTAACCCTCTAAATCTTCACAGGAAAAATGATCGTGATTAATCCAATCAAAAACCTGAGAATCCACCAATAAAAATACAAGAAAAGAGAAATTAATATTTCAATATAAAAAATTTAATTTCACCTAGCTTATTAATTGGATAGAAAGTAAACAGAGTAAAATTTTATCTGGTTCAATTAAAATTTATTGTATATATATGGAAGCATATATGGACAGACCGAAACTGGTCAATAAAAGCATTCTTGATTTAATATACTTCTTCATATGCGTTTGCGTTTTTATACAAATTTTGGTACATTGTGTCGAAAAACATTACTCAGAGGTACAATTAAGAGGGTTTGATGTAAGGGCACTATAGCGAACAAACCACGGTGCGCCCGTCGAAAGATGTAATAGCTTACTCTTACTTGAAGCAAGGAGACTTTTGCCTATATGTCGTAGGCCGAGGGGATAGACGCGTATGTCATTGGTCGAATACACAACACATCAGCCTCGTTTGTTGTGCAACATGAGTTTGTTTCTAGCACAAGGTAAAGGGTAAAGAAATTAAACCGCCGCCTAGATCTTTGCCGCGATATATTACGTGCGCCGCCACGAGGGCTTGTCGACTATAATGATCCCCAAATACTTTGCCGAGGACACCAAGGAAATTACCTTGTTTGCAAAGATCAGTGGTGGAGTAATGTAGTACGCTTCTACTGTAAAAAGGGCTTGGTCTTTTCTGCGGTAATAGTAAATTCCTAACGACACTAGTTGACAAGTGTCACTAGGTAGTACTGCAGATGCTGGCACACTAGGTATACGACTTTGAACGAGAAGTAAATCGCCGTGCCATTCGCTTAGAGAGCAATCTGCGGAGAGTCGTCAGGCTGTAGCACGTTGCACACATAAAGCGCAAAGAGAAGGTGTGGTCGTAGAGATCCTTGCGGTTCCGGTTGAAAGTGGCCATAGGGGCGAGCATCCGTACACAATACATAGTAATTAACTAAATATGGTAATTCTCCCACGTGCGTGTTCCAAATAGTATGGTTTTAATTAATTCAAATAATTTAAATTATAATTTTTGGTTAATTTGAATTGAAAAAAAACATATTGATTGGTTGAAATTTCTACTTTTGGATTAGCTACCTATAATAATTATTTTAAAATTTTCAGTGGTTGGTAGATTTGTGTTATGTTCTAAACTTTGTCTACAACTATTCTGTGCACTATATGTGAGGTGTGTTTGAGTTAGTATATTGTATAGAATTATTTTTCACTTTATTTTTTAGGTTATTTGGCTGGTAGAATATCAGGTACTTCTCTTTGTTATCATATAAATTTAAATATTTAACGTGGTTTCGTGTTAGCTGCTCTAGTCTTGAGGTTAAACTTTTTGACGGGTCACACAATATTTGTTACAAACATTTACATTTTTATAATATTATTTGAAAATTATAGGAAGAGAAAGACCACGGATGTTAAAGAAAATTTTAAAAAAATCTTTATAATAATTAATAAAAGGCTATTTGTCCATTATAAGGGCTAACAGTTATTTGCGCTATTAAAGCTATATGTTTAAAGGTGTCTACTTTTAAACTAAAACGCTAAATATTAAACGACTAAAATTACTATAATAAACTTTTTATATATGAACTTAGAGTTTTTCTTTATCAATTTATGATTAAACCGCTTCTTGAACTTCAGCAAAGTAAGCTTAAAATTGTTATATTAGTAAAAGTGAGGTAGCATATGTCACCTATTATTTCGCTATACACAAAGTTTAAATTAAGGGAAGTATTTATAGATACTTACATAAAAACATAAACTCGGTGAAAGGTATAACTAAGCTACTTACCTTTGATAGCATACTTATACCTAATGATGTCCACTTAGTAGTAAAACACTTTTTGCTTAAAAAGTAATGAGGAAACTTCTACAAAATATTGCGTTAAACTCTTTCATTCACTTTAAAGACTATTATAAAAGATGGTGTGATAACTGTTACTCCTTAAAAAAAACCTCTTGGGTACTTTTTTTTTAGTATGCATTATCTATTTGTACGAAAAAAAAATGACTACTTCGTACTAAACTATTTTATATATTGCAAATAATTTGAGACGTGAAATAACAACATTTCCTACCAATAACCTTTCTTCCTCGCTATTTCATACATGGGCAGCCACCCTTTTCAAAATTTAGTACTTAGTAACGATGGTAGTTTTTTTTGATTTAATGTTGTCAAAGTTTTAAAATATGGTGACAACGAGGAGTTCTAGACGACCTTATCCTACTAAAGTCCCTTTTACTACTACAAGTATAAGGAAGAAAGCGGTTACTAAAGTTTTGCCTAAAATCTCTACTCATTCGAAACGCCACGAAAAAAAAGATTTAGAAAGTAATTATTATAAAATAATAATAGTAGAACAATGAACTTATTAGAAATTCTTCTTCTTTTTCTTATAAATAAGATACAAATAGTATAGCTACTCAAGAAAGTAACGCGCAGATTGACACCACTTCTTTGGGTTTTTATCTTTAATAATATTAAATATTTTTAATTCTAATAATAAACCAGACAATGGCTCCTCAGGAAAGCTTGCAAATTTAGGAGAATTAATTAATAGCTTTGATTCTGAAGTCATTATTAAATTATACTTTTTCTTTATATTCTGTATATATGAAGTTTATGTTTTTTAAAATATAACCTTTTTTGGCTTTAGCAATTTTTTGTTAACGATAATACAATCTTTTTTTTGGCAAGTTTTCATATGTGGAAAAAAAATTTTTTTTTTGGTTCATATTTTATTTTTTAGAATCTATACCTTTAGTTTAAACTTTTTTTTGCTAACTTTATAATAACTTTTGCAGGTTACTGTGCGCTGCGGAATTATGAAAAATAAAATAAAAAAGTGTGAAACGGAATTGTGCCAAATTTTTGCCTTGGAATTGGTGAAAATTCCAAGGGTCATTAAAAATATGACTCTATTTGAGTTTGTGGTTAAATGTCGAGAACTCGGTGTTTATATAGACTCCTTGAACATTCCAAGGTAGTTATTATTTAACTAATCTTATAACAATTCTTTAGAAGTTTATATTAACTCCTTGTGCATTTGTATAGTAGTTAATGTTATTTTAAAATATTTCTTAGTTTTATAAAAAAATTGCTTTTTGCTGTTAATATAGACTCCTCAAACTTTTTGAAGTACTTACTATTTCTCAAAAGTATTCTATTAAAAAAATATAAATTAAAACAATCTTATTGGTTTTAATGCCTCCTTGAACCTTTTTTTGTGTTTACATAAACAATTTCTTATACATCCTTTAAAGTTATTAAATATATATATATAAATAATTATAATTTTTGGTGTTTACAAGCCTCTTTGTACTTACCTAAGTAGTTTTAATTTTTAATAATCTTTTAATTAAAAATAATGAATGCAAAAAATTATCTGGGTGTTTATGTAGACTCTTCGAGCATTGTTAAAATAGTTATTATTAAACTAATTCTTTTAATTTTATAAAAAAATTTAATTTTTTTTAAATATATTTCTTTTGGCGTAAATATAGATTCCTTGAAATTTTAAAGGTTATTATTTAAAAATTAATTAAATTCAAAAATCATACAGGTAAATACAATTTATTTATTAATGGATATTAGAAGAAAGCTTAGCGTTGAGAGTTTTTTATTATAAGTAAAACTATAACAAGTTTAAAAAAATAGTAACAAAGATTATTTTTCATTAAAAAAATAATATTAGTATTTAAATTTAAGTTAGTTATTGGACAATTTTTATTGTTTTTAAGGTAACCAGAATTATTTTTAACAATTTTTTTTGAACTATACTTGAAATATTCTATCTTTCAATTAAAAAAAATTTTTATATAGTAAATTTTGTTTGTGGGTAGAATTAAAAAAAATTGATTTTTTAAGTCTAGTAATCCTAAAAAACCGTTTCTAAAGTTTTATTTTTGTTTAATTTTAAATCCATACTGTTAGTAAATTATTTATATTTGTGTTTCAAAAGTTCTGCTTGGAGCTCTTTTGACTCTCTTTTGGAATCGAAAAAAACTAAATTATTTGAAGCTGAAAACTTTAAAGAAAGTCGTGATATACACACATAAAATTCTTATAAATATCTATAATTTTTTAAAAAATACTGTTGAAAAGATTTTAAGTTTTGCAAGTATATTTTATTCTCTTTATAATATTTTACTAAAAGTTGATACTGAAGGATAAACATAAATGTTAAAAACATAATTATATTTAATATAACTAAGAAATATTATTGAAAAAAATTTTCATTAAAATAAAGTATTATAATACCTGTTGAGGTTCACTAAAATTTGATCTATTATTTAAGAGATTGTAACTGCTTTGTTTTTTTAAGGAAGAATAAAGAATAATATATTTAATAGAAACACAGTATTATGAAATAGCGTTGACCAAAATAAATTTTAGGAATTTTTGCTATTTTAAATCTCGTAGCGATAATGAATGTGTTTAAGGACTTTTTAAAAACCCAAGTGAAAATTTTATGACTAGAACACAATTACCGAAGAACTTTTTTTTTTGCTATTTAATTTACCTTCACGCGTTAGAAATTGGGTTTTTAGGTAATTTTTTAAAAAATAAAGTATAGTTAATCTTGAACTGTACTTTTTTAGTTATAAAAGGATTTACCCGTAGTAATTTTAGTTTATATGCTTATTTAATTATCTTTTAAAGGTAGTGGTTGTGTTTAAGGAATTTAAAAAAAAAAAGTATAATTTAACTTTAATTCGTTTTTATTAGTTTTCAATTGCATTTTCAGACTGAATTTTAGTATATTGTTTCTTTTTAATTTTTAGGAGTAGTAAAAGTGTTGTATTTAGGATATATAACTAAAATTTTTAGTAGTTGCCAATTTTTTTAAATTTGTACGCTAACACACAAATGGATTACTTGGTTTATATTTAACTAATTAATTTATTCTCAATTTATTTATATAATATCTTTGAAAATTTGCAAAATCGGGTTTTAGTGAGGACTTTATGTAATTTTTTTTTTGAATTAATAGTTTTTCACTTTTAACTAATTAAGAAATATGTGAAATAACACCGACTTATCCACCTCATAATTATAAAACAGCTTTTATTAAACCGAACCTTTCTATATGCTCATAAATACTTAGTACTTCTTCGACTTATAAAAGTTTTACTAACACTAAATCCTGTTTTTATATTCGCTAACTAGCAATACAGTTATGAAGTAAGTAAGTTTTTTAACTGACGCTTATAAGAGTAAATAAGTTTTGTTTTTCCTCTAATTTTAGTCGATTTGCTCTAGGAAGACTTTAGAATTTTGCTAGATTACATTGGTTGCGCGCTTGTTAAAAACTTAAGTTTCCTAATCTGTAGAGTTAATTTTTTAATTAGTATTGACCCACTTTTATAGTATAAAGGGATCTTAACTAGGATTTAAAATTTGTTTCGTTATTAGTAAAAATTATTTATGAGCGTTTAAACTTTTTGCTTGTTGAAATAATAAATCTTAAAGTTTTCCTATTTTTTTTTTGGTGGGTATTATAGAAATGATTTTTATATATATAACAAGTTATAACGAAAATAATAATTATTATAACTTAAGTAATATTATTTTTATTGCTTTACCTAAGTTTCTAATAAACTTCTTTTTACCATTTATATAGAAAATAGTTTTAATTTTTTTTTCCTAAAACAACTTTTTCTTTTAGATTTTAAAACAGTTGTAGAGACTAACACTCCTTTTAAGCCCCTTAATTCTGTATTACTATTATTATTGTAATTATTATTATGTTCTAATTATATCTGTTGTTAGTCCACACTGCTTGCAACCCAGAGAAGACCACGTGGCCTTCTCACGTGCGCCAAATCGCAACCGTATAGCTCTCGTTCCCCCTTCACACCCTTAGTTGGAAAACCGAGTAATAATAACGCATCAGTGAACTTTTTTTTTAACGAATAAATTAAGGAACTTCTAGTAATATTAAAAGTACATATAATACTAGTAATAAATAATAATAATTACTATAAATATAAGTACATTTTTTTCTGCGTAATCACTTTTTATTGGTCGCAGCTAAAGAGGGCCTTGCCGATCTCAACGAATCGGCTTTCTCTATTTTTATGGAAGGTAGCTACTTTACACCGTTTTTTTTAAAGAGATAAAATATTGAAAATATTTATAAAACTTGCAGTTGATATTGATAAGATTAATGATAATTACTATAATAGTAATAATAATAGTAGTTATCTCTGAAATCGTTATGGATAATAACTTTTTTATTATTTAACATAATTTTTTTAATTGTATGTTATTAATATTTATTAAACTTTTCTGTTTTAATATTAATACAATAAAAATAATTTTTTTTATTGTTTTTTTAATATTTATTAAAGTTTTATTAATTTTATTGTATTATTGAAGGGATTATTAATAACATTTTTAATAAATTTTACTAAAACTTTTACTTTTTTATATTCCACTTTTTGATTATTTATGTGTTGTTGAAATTGACGCTTGATTGGTGGAAACGCGAAATTGCCTTATATATATTAATTGTAAAGGACCAATCACTGAATTTTTTATCTTGATTTTTTTTTTATTTTAATATAATTTTTAGTTTTTATTATTGCTATTAATAATTTTTTATAACTTATTATAGAACTCGCAGCTTTACTTACCTGTCATTATTATGTATATACAATATTATATATTTTTATAAATAATTTATATATGTTATTTACGTTGAGTTGCTTTTTAGTGTTTTTATATTTTCTTTGGTTTTTAAAAACTTTTATTATATTTATAGTGTTGTCAATTTGTATTTATAGTACAGTTTCATTTTTGTATTTTTTCTATAGAATAGTGTTAGTTTGTAAATATTTTTAACATTTTCACTATTTATTTTCTTTTATTTATTGCTAATTTTACTTTTTTTGAGTTAATTTTCTTTTTATAGTTATTGTTATGAATATAAAAAGTTATTATTATTATTATTATCCATAACAAGACTTATAATTTTTTATTTTAACAAAAAGTTTTATTATTACTATTATTTATATAAGTCTTCAATTTTTATTACTATATTAATTTATAGGCGAAAGCAGTTCTTTTAAAGGGATTGCAGTTCCGTTGGAGTCTGGCGATGTAACTTTTCTTATAAATTTTATTATTAGTTAGTATTAATCTAAATTTTTATTTCTATATAATTTTATTTAAAAAAATTATTTCCTTTTAATATTATAAATTTTTTAATAATTTTTATCAAAAATGAGATTTATCAGTCTTTAATGCATTTTAATTTTTTTTTTGTTACAAATTAAAAAAAGGTGATGTTTTGGAAGTTAATTGGTAGGCTTAAACTAAAATTATTTAACATTAGCTTTATTTGTTACAATTTATTATAAAAAGCACTTTTTAGGGAGATTATTTGGTTGTTATTCCCGCTGCTGATTCCTCTAATTGTTACAAATAATTTTAAAAACCACCGATTTAAGGTTATTTGGTAATTACTAGGTAAAAACTACCAATTAATGGTCAGCTTTTAATTTGTTAGAAATATATCTAAAAGTACTTTTATAAGTTACAAATAAAGCTAAAGTTATTTATCACTGTCTAGCTTTTGATTATTACAATATTTTTTAAAGACCCGATTGGAAGCTAAATGGTAGTTTTAGGCTAATTGTTACAAATACTTTTAGTAGTCACTTAGTGTTATTTGGTAATTTTAACCTGAATCTATTAGTTAATGGCGATTCTTTTACTCTTTTTGGTAGGTAGATACGGATTTTGTGATTGGCAGTTTTTCTGATTGTGCTATAATTATTGGTTTAGAAGCCTTACGATAGTGAGCCCATCGAACCACTCCAAGTAAACAAAATCCCAACATTTAATTTTGCTAAATAAAAGTTTAAATTTCATTTTCTTTTTTTATAAAACTTCTGTTTTATGATACAAAAAAAAATTTCAAAGTATGAAGATGGACTATACAAACTTTTAGTAAAATGTTTATATAGATAATATTTATGTAATTAATTTTATATTAAAAATTTTATAATAATACTGAATAAAATATAATTTTTTAAAATTAGTAAAAAAAAGCGAAAATAGTTATTAAGGTGAATAAGTTTTTAATTATTATATTATTGAAATAAAAAGTACATTAAGTAAAAAAAAAGAAATTATAGAAAGAGAAATAAAAATATAGTAAATGTATCATAGCCAATCAATTTCTCTAAGTTATACAATAGTAAGAGTTGGGCCAATAAGTATATAAAATTAAAGAGAAGGGACGCTAATTGAACGAACCAGCGCCTTTAAGGCGCTCTTGGGAAGAGTAGTGCTGGCAAAGTATACAAGTAAACACGAATCAATAAAAATTCGATCGAAAAATATTACAAGAAAATATAAAACATTATTAAAAAAAAGTATTAATAAAATTATTTTCTACAATTTTTTGAAGAAAATGATTAAACTTTTTATGCGGGCCACTGCAAGTATTTTATATTAAATATTATTTTTATTCTTAAGTTATACTCGCGTGCGTTTTAGTACGTTAAAAAAAATATAGAACAGTTTTTACTATAGTTCTCTTATTGAGTTTACTAAACCTTACTTATTATTATGAATAGGACTTATTAATCAATGAAGACACTGACTTTAGTAAAGTGGCGCAGGGAATTGGTAAGGAAGCGCTTCAAAAAACAGTGCAGAGGCTATTAGACATGAAGGAGCAAGTCTCTAAACTCGTTATGCAAATCCAAAGTGAGGCTTCCAGCGTTTTGTCTTGACTATAAAAAATAAAATTAAAAGTATTTGTCCCAATTTTTATTAATGCCCGCCTATGCCGTTTTTTTTCCGCTGCACTTTTCGGGTTATTAAAGTATTAAAAAATTATATATAACAAAGCAAAATACATCGTAGCTGCACTTCATATCTCTTTTCTTGGTGGCGACATATAAAAGTATTATAATTATTATGAAAAACTCTTGAAAAGTTGCTTGGGATTCTGCTATTGTGGCGTATGTAGTTAGCAGCTTAGGTAACTAACGATTGCATTTCTTTTATTAGAATAATTATTTATGTTATTATTATAACTTATTAACATTTTATCATTTTTTGTTATCATGTCTAAGAAATGCTTGGAGGCCTAGACTTACACCTTATTTTTATTAATGTGCACTTGGCGTAAATTATTAATATCTTTATGTTTTAAATATATTTTTTATTACTATAATTAATATTATGTCAAAGCGGTAAGGCCTTATTAAATATGAGTATTAAATTTTAGTACGGTAAGTACTTGATACACGTTTGGTTAACTGCTAAACCCACTAAAAGTTTTCCTGTAGCAAATCTGGAGCCATAGCAACTTCATTAAAAAATCACAGAGAGCCTAAATATTTAGTTTAAACTATTTTATATGTAAAACTGTTCACTTCTATCCATATAAAAAATTAAAATAGTTGAAAGCTTCAATGTAATAATAATAGTTAATAATTTATTTTAAGTATTTGCTACAACGGGGATTATAATACTCGCTCTGTGCTCTGTCTTCCTTATTCTCTCTCAAGTATACTTCTTTTCTTGTTCGTTTTTAGTATACACAAACTTTTAAGCATTTAACTTGGTACTAAAATAATTTATAAAGATTCTTAATTAAAATTTTTTTTTTATAGTTTAATAGTATATCAAGGCAGTCGATTCGTTCTTAATTCCTAATATTAATACTTTAATAATTTCTTTGCTTTTGCCTCGCCTCATTTAACGACCAAAGCATTTAAATACTTTTATTATAACTATCAATGGCTTGTCCTGGTACTCGAACTGGCCGTGAAGATAAACACCGAATTTACGTGCTTTTAACAGGTGATGATAGTGTACACGTCATCTCTAAGCTGGTGTTAAGCAGTCTCACATATATGTAATAATTCCACCCCTAACCCTAATTATATATATCGAGTCCATCGCGCTGTCGGCAATAGCATGCGCCGTCCAGGTTTGTTATTGACTCATTTGCCACTAATCGATGCTGATTGAGCCGGCCGTAGGTGGCGATAGTATTGCGTCGAAAAACATTACCCAGAGGTTCAATTTGGACGTCTTGGTATTAGGCATCGTTGCAAACAACCCACGGCGCACCCGTGGTAAGGCGTAGCCACTTGTCTTGTTTCACTTAAAGCGAAGAGACAATCGCCGTTAAGTCGTAGTTCAGGCAGTAGACACGTATGTCATGATTGGTCGAATACGATAGCTTGCTTCGGGCGCAAAAAGGGTACGAGACTTCAACCGCCGCCTAGATTTTCGCCGCGATATAGTTTATGCGGCTGCCCCGAGAGTTTCTAGTTCATAATGCCCCCCCCAAATACTTCGCCTGATGACACTAAGGAATCACCTTGCTTGCAAAGGTAAGCGACGGTAGAGGTGTAGTGCGCCTCTTCGTGTGAAAAGGACTTTGCTCTCCTCCGCTTTAATAGGAATTCTTTCACAACGACACCAGTTGTTAAGCGTCACTAGGTGGTACTGCAGATACTGGCTCAATAGAGCATGTGACCTTGACGAGAAGTGAATTTCTGTGTCATCCGCATATAAGGCAACCCCCGTGTAGGGGTCGTTAGGTTGTAGCACTTCCCGCCTATAAAGTGCTAAGAGTGAGACAATAAAAGAGAACCTTGTGAGACACCTGCTGTCATGGTCTTACAAGCGATTGCGCCTCTCCCACAAACACACGTATATCGAAGACGCGGTTTTTAAGATAAGATTTGATCACGTGAAAAAGAACTGTTGGGAGGGCTTTAGTGCGCATTTGGGAAGCAAGCCCTTGTGTCAAACTCGGTCAAAAGCTTTTCAGGCATCAAGAAAGACAATGCACGTTAAATTCTATATAGTGAAGGCACGGGTCGTCCTCGCAGTCAAGCGAAGAAGTTATTGGGTCCGGGAGCGTTCTAGTCGAAGTCCATATTAAACTTCTGGAATGGCGTAGCTCTCAACAACGAATGCTTTCAAACGGAGCAGTATGGCCGCCTTAGCTACTTTGTTAACAGTGACAAAAAGCTGCTAGGCTTGTAGTGGCTTGGATTAGTTGCTGGTGGTAGTGTCTTGGGGAGCACCACAACTGTTGCTGAGAGACACCGTAGAGTTGATTAGGCAGCATAGTCGTTCTAAAGTCACCATTAATAATTGCTTAAACATCACGTTGGTGTATCGTCAGGGCCATGTTCCTTTCTTCTCTGAAGGTTGTTACTAATCATGATTTCGATTATGGTGATTGACTCAGCTGTTTCTCGGCGTCAGCAAAGAGTTAATTTCACAAAGTGCTCCATCTACAACTAAATAAGCCCTTCGCGCTTTATTAGTGTCTTTTTCGGCCTCGATATTGCCGTCTGGCATAGTAGGCAGTGATAAACGCTCCCGATTATTGTATTTCCTAATAAAATTCAGGAAGAGAGGTGATCGTTACCGTGATCTTCCGAGATATTACTTAACTTTATCTCCCACGATCGTTTATGGTGCGTCAAGAGCCCTTTCCTAATGCTCCGGTGTAGCCTATTAAGCGCTTATATTTCTTAGTTTCGGGGCTCTTTGAGTCACCGCGGCCACTCACATAGGCTTTTCACCCCTCGCAAATAAAGGTTTTCAACACATCCGGCAAACTCAACTTCACGTGTTGTCGTGGCAGTGTAGTAACGCCATGGTCAGAGCTCCTCAAATTCAGCAACAGCAACGTCAAGTAGGGCTAGCGTCCTGGGGAAGGCGGAAGATGTTGAAATGGTTAGATCAGTCAGTCTCAGAGGATTAAGCCCAATTCGTAAAAGTTCGGGTACATGTCCTCAGTAACTCCATTACGTCGCCTAAATTAAGAAAACTGGAAGATTATTTCATTGACGTTAAAATATAATTATTTAAAAGTACGAAATCTAACACGCGTCTGCTCTCCCGTCTTCGCCACTTGCGTTAAGTACTGTGGCTCTAAGAATCGCAGTACGCGCTCGTCGGTGTAAGCTTCAAGGATTTAGCCTTCAGAGTAAAACGTGACTGTTGCAGCCGGAATGCTTCCCACTAACTACATCTGAAGAACAATTTATAAAAGTGTATAATCATCTATGGTAATAAGTGGACTAATGGGGCGGTTTGTAAGCTGCAATGACGGCACCGGTTTGACTGGTTAAGTAAGGGGTGGAAGGGGACATAAACCGTGTCAATGCCTTGCAGGGCAGGCAAAAATAACAGTGTTAATGTTCCCTCTAAGCAAAAAGAACACCTCGCCCCACTCTTGTCAAGGCAGTACTAGCGGTATGCCGAAGAGTTGCAAAGATTATATGAAACATTGGGAAGATGTATCTCACTAATAACACTAATTTGTTTTTGCTATGCATCGATACCTGCAACTCTTGTTTTTTATATAAAACGCCATAATCGTTCCAGAACAGTCGACGGATATAACGAGGTGGTTGTCGTCTAAAAACCATTGCAAACGGGTTTTACATACTTAAGCTTCTCTAATATTGTGGACAGGTTTGTAGTCAGTATTAAAAGCAGTTGCCGACGTGTTGCTTGTGGTTATCAGGTAGTCGTCTCAGAAGTTATCTTTGTGGTCAAGCGAGAGGCATAAGGACTTGTCGGAGTTACAATTAGAGAAGGTTTCTACTTTTGTAGAGTTGGTTGGACAATGATAAGTTATTAAAAAAAAACTGAACAAAAAATCTTAGCAAGAAACTCTTTAATTGTTTAAAGACGAAGTTTTGGGAGCGTACTGAAGATAGTGTAAGGTATATCGTTGGTTGCCGGAAACCTTGTTTTCAGTAACTTTCTCTAATACTCTGAGCTCGTAATTAAGAGAATGCAGATTTTTATTCTGTTCTTTAGTGCGACCTCAACCCCTCCCGTGTGGTTTTGCTGATCTTAGTTGACGTCTAGGTCATCCATTTGGATCATAGGGGGTTTTGAAGAAGATTTTTATGTTGTCTTTAAAATTTCAACATAAAAATCATTTTGTTGGGTTTGTAAAGACACTTCAAGATAATTATGGATTATTACCTTGCGTGCGTGTCCTCTTAGTCAAGTCTATCGTTAAAGTTTTTATTAACTTTATCAAGGCCGGTTGCCTTTACTTTTCTTGTAATATTATTCGAGTAGTAGATTAAACCTTTACATACACCAGGCAGATGTGCTGTGTGTACAGTAGGATATAAATTTAAGTCTAGTTGCTAATTATTTTTTTGTCTTGCAACAGAGTTTGTTGTTAGAAGAGAAAAAGTCCAACTTTAAGAACTCTGGGTTAAATTAAAAAAGGCCTGGTACCTTGTTCAAAATCAACATTTTCGAGACGATGGACTTATCCTGGTCACAAAGTATGACTGGACAACCCTCCATATATTTTCTGTGGAATGTAATGTAGTCTTGATACTATTCAAACAGTCTCTGTGCAGATGCAAGTTCCTTATAAACCACGGGGCTTGGTATCATTAACGTCAAATGTGAACACTTTTATGTTTAACCTTGCTGCCAGACATAAAAGTATCCGTACAGATTTAATGTTGACTAGACTAAAAGTATCGAGGTGGTCATCTCCGTATACTTGCGTGTTATTCTTTAGCATAGATGCGGCCCTTGCTTCGATCAATGATGCCATCAGCATCATTTTTCACTTAGAAGAGCCACTTGCGCCAATCTTCTTGCGTCCAGCTGGTAGAGAAGTAGGTTCCGAAGTTTGAATTTTTTATGATAATCATGTTCATGCTAAATGGGCTTTGTCCATTGATCTTTAACCGTGCCATTCAGGGTCCACGATATATTTTGGGTTCCAGTACCTCCTTGGCATGCGTAAGTAAGGGCAGAGGGTAAGAGCGCAGTATTATAGGTGCACTGGGTAGTATCCTCAAGTTTAGTTCGTTTATCCCGACTCTCGAGTACACTAGCTTGGCGTGAGGCAATTTGTCTACTTCTGCGTTTCGAACCTTCGGCTTTACTTGGAGTTGAACTTCAGAAGGCATACTAGTTTCGCCGGGTGCATTTTCATCTATTTTAGGATGAGTATTAGCCGTAGTAGTGGGGCCTTCTGGATTTGCCGGAGTTAGGGCATCGGTTCATCGGCTGGGGGTATATCCTCAGCGCTGAGTTTCGATTTTGTGTCCGACCCCCCTATATTCCGCAAACGTACAACAGTGGCCGTGTCAAATGTTACTGATCCACTAGGTGCAGTATCCGGGTTTACAGATGGATTCAGTGCATTTTTATACGCAAAGGACTTATCAAATGTTTGCATCTCTACTGCTTAGTACTTTAGAAGCTTTGGGGTCCCAGATTTAAAGGCAGTATCTCTCCGGATCCAGACCGATGAAAAATCCTTTAATGCTGCTGTCCTCAAACATCTACCCGAAGTATAGCTTCATAGCATTAGCTCTCGTTCCTAAAAATGCGGAAACTTTCCACGTCCGGTTTTCATGATTGTATTAATTGATAAGCAGTAAAGTAGACGTTACGACTGGTACTTATACATACCTTATTTTGCGCACTGTACAGTTCGTCCTCGAGGTAGGATCGAATTGAGTTGATGTTCTCTCATACTATAAAAGAAGCGATTTCCATGCTTTACAGGGGTATCGGTGGTAAGTACGTATCCTCAGCTTGATCGCCAGGAGAAAGCCTAAGGAGGCTGGTAGCACGGGCATACTGTGTTTCAAGCTGTATTTTGGGCTCAATCCCTTTGAAAAGTTCAATCGCATTCATTTACAGTGGCCAGTGCAAGGAACCTTGTCTTCCTCGCTTGGAGCTATCAAGTTCATCCAAGTTTGTAATGCCTAAAATTCAGCAGAGTTTCCGCGGGAAACTTGGAGGACAGGGCTCCCAGAGTGTAAATCTGGAGAGTAGGGCTTTAAAAGATGCAGGGACTCGGGAAAAAATGGAACTTGAAAATTATTTTATAAATTACTTAAAACTGTTATTATTATGCGGCACCTTAAATTTATATACTAATGAAAAAGTAAATATGCTTATAATATTATTTGTAACCAATTGAATGTAGATTTGTTAAGGGAACCTTTTTGGAAACGCCGTATATACCTTCGCGTTCTTTCTGGGCGTTGAAAAACTTGCCTTTCGTGTGAGTTTTCCTTTTTAAATAATATTATGTGGGTTTCTTTCATTATTTTTATTGCATTTACACGGGAATATCTGAAAAGCATTTTTTTAGTTTTGTTATTCATTTTTCTAATAAAAAAAAAAGCGGTTATATTTACTTATAATTATTTAATACTCCTTCCAGTTTGTTTGTTTTTAAATCTTTATATTATAAGCTTCGAGGCTATTTTATTTTTCGCTACTGTTTTCTGCATCGCTTAACTCATTTTGAAGCAGTTGACTTGTAGCAAGTGTTCCACTTGTTATTAAGTATATTTCATAATTTTTTTTAAATAACCAATTAGAGCTTAATGAAAATCCATTCGACTGAGATGGGCCCGGCGCATTTGCCCTCCCCTTAGAAAATACTAATATGTAAATTTTATATTTGCTTACAAGTAGGCCGAGTTTCCGACTCATTATTATTCTTCCGATTTTACTAGTGATATACTCGAATCAGGGATTTCTTTGTTGCCCGCGGGTTCACTACCAAAGTTTACGTTACATAAATGATTATCGCACTTACACCGAAGAGAAAGAAGACTTTAATTAATTTGATAAGAATAAGCGTAATTTGTTGAGTAAACAGGATACTTTAGCGCCTTCTTTGCTGGTGTTGACAATAGTGAAAAAGAGTTTGACTCGCCTTTACCTACTGCTTTAAATACTTTGAGCAACTATTAAAGGAAAGTTCATCGGGGTCTTCTAAAATTGATGCTAAGGCTAAGCAAATCACTAAAAAGGGGGATTCGCAGTGGATATTAAACTTCGTCGAACTCATATCACCGCTCACTTGTTTTTGGTTGTACTATTTTTTTCTGTACGACTTGTGAAAGCCGAAATTATTAAATAAAATTAATTGTGCACACTATTATACTTGTACTTGGTGCTATAAAGGAGTTATTTACTTGCAAACATTATTTTTAGGACTCATTGTATCGTCGAAACGTCACTATATCTCTTTAATACTGATAGCAGTTTAATATTGGCTTTATAAAGTTCAGACTATTGCAAGTATTTATCTTTTCTTGCTGCTTTCCCCTTGCACAATATCTCTACTATAGTCTTTGGTGTTTAACTATGAACTTATTTACTTAGTGAATTTTAAAATAATAACAAAATCTCTTCATTCTTGGCTTTATCAGTATAGTGAAGCAGCAGTAACTTCAACTCCATAAGCTTATATTAAAGTTGTACTTCAATTGAATAATTTATAGGACTGGTTTGCTACGGGCTTGATTTTTAATTTTTAGTAAAAAGTAACATATGTGAGCACATGAACTTCTGGGTATAGCCTTCGCTAGAGACCGCTAAGCAGTAACCCCATTCGAGTGGTTACTATTCTCCAGTGGCTATCCCTGTTATACTTTAAAAAAGTCAGAAATGATGTAAATTGGGGACAAGATCCACAAACAATGAATCTTATTTTCTCCAATTAAAATCAACTATTTCTGACTTGTTTACGTAAATGAAACCTTATAAAATGCAAGTAAACAACTTTTTCGCCAATCCGGTATATTATAAAACATGTCCACAACTTATTCTCCAATTAATTGTCTGTAAAAATCATGCTTTTTAGATTGGGAGTTGTTTGTATGCTATAATGAGTTTGAGGTTTTGCGTTAGAGATTTGTTCTAGTTCATCAGCACAGATGATATAGCATGAAAGTCTCTCTTTAATACTTTAATACCATATAAGTTATGTATGGATCTAAAGATAACAATCTCTTTTTTGTTTCTGAGGAGGTGGTATAAAGTTTTTCTAAAACTTCTTTAACGGTACGAACCATTAAAAGTTTTAGGAAGTTACTATGATAGCCTTTTTTTAAAAGTCTTTGTAGAAATTTTCAGTAAGAAGCCAAAAATTCTCTTCAAACGCACATAAACCTTACTCCCGCGAGTTAAAGTCGTATTAAGATTTTTTTTACAGTACTAGGGGAGGGGAGGGGTGCACGGTTAATAAAGATATAAGTTGAGTTCCTTTTCATTAGTTGTATAAATAATTCTAAGTTACCTTTCCAAATATATAAATTTAGGAAGAAAATGGAATTGTTCTGGTTTATCTCCAAAGTCCAGTTTAGCTTAGTACAATGTGATATATGACTGATAAAGTCCGAAAATTGAACTTTCTTTTTTACCCATATGAGCCATATATCATCCATATTTCCTTTATATAACTTTTTATGTAAGGAGAGAATTTATGTAACTTTAAAGCTTCATAATACACCGAATATGAAGTAACCAAGGTAGGCAGCGGGATTACCCATAGGAGTCCCCGTTTAGTTCTTGGTATAATATAACATTAAAGACTTTATTATGTAATAAAAGATGGACCGCTTCATAGTATGTACAAAAAAAATTTGACCTGGAGAATCTTAGAAAGAATTCTACAGAATTCCATCAATTTTTCATTGGAATACTTGTATTAAGCGGTTCTATATCTAGTGAACATATAATTTCTTTACTTTCTAGTTTGATATCTTTTAATAAAGCTAAAAGGTTCTCAGAATTCTTTATAGGAACGTTTTTCTTGCCCAGTCCTCCTGCCGATTTTGAATGTGGCCTGTGCGCCTCTACTTTTTACTACGGATTTGCAATAAATAACTTATTACATGCTTTATTACTACTACGAAAACTTTAATCACTACTCTATTTTAATATATAAACTAAGACTAAACCATTTCTCTTTATATATATCTGTCTTACTCAGTTAACTTATATGTATTAATTTTTATTTTTTACTATATTACTTTATTTACTTATATATATTGCTTAACATGTCTCATGTTTCTTCGGGTAAAGAGTCCGCAGTCTACATCCCTGAGATACTAACCATAAATGAAAAGCTTTAAAAAAAAAAATTAAAAAGCGCAAAAAAGAATTAACGAGCTTCCCTTTACAGAGATTAGCAAAAACAAGCTAAATGCTCTTTCAATCTCATGCAAACCTAATCCTTTACCTATTACCTGCTCAGATTCTTTTTCTGGTCTACCCTACAAGGCAAAAGCACTGATATAAACAGATTACCACCTTTATTGGGTGATTTAACTACTTAAACTCAAACACTCAGCTTTCCAATCGACCACACCCCACAGAACAGGAAACTCAACATATCAACTGCGAAAAACTTTCCGGACACAAAGAAAATGTTTCGCCCTAAAATATTCGTGAGAAACAACGTTGGCCAGATGTAGTTCCCTATTACGTATAAGAAACGTGACCATTTTTCCTCTAAAAATATCCATATTACTGTCTTCCTCTAATAACTTTCAACTGGCCCAGAAAATTATTATTAGAAAGTAATTAGGAGTTTTAGAGTTTATCGGTTTCCTGAGGATAGACTTTTGGAAGTGATACTAAAAGTAATACTAAAAGTAATTTTTCCCGAACTTGACAGTAGCGCAGTTGAGGAAGATTTAAGCAGTCAAGGTTTTCATCCACTAAAGATTGTTCGTATAAAGTTATTGGAAAGAACGAAAAGCTCTTCTTTTAGTACTCGTACAGTTGCCAAACTTCGAAGGCTCGGTATACAAAATAACTTCAGTTCGTCATCTTTAAGTTTCGTTTGAAGGACTCAAGAATTCAAAAGTAAATGACCAGTGCCACCGCTGTTAACTTTTTGGCCATGATTATTCCTTCTTTATTTCTACCTTTAAGTGTATCAAATGTGGAAGCAACCATGAGAATGGTAGCTGCACGAAGACGCCTGATTTCCCTCCGAATAACGCTAACTGTCAAGGCAAGCACACCATTGACTGCCGAGGTTGCCCTTATTACCCAAGAAATTCTCAAATGGGCACCTCAACAAATCTCAACAGAGTCATACTCCCAGACAATTAATTGCACATCTTCCAAGAATGCTGCTCAAAATAAAGAACTTTCTCAGAAAGTATTCACTATTCAACAAGAAGAGTTACAATTGCCGTTAACATGAAGCCAATGTCGAAGGACTATGAACATTTAAATAATATAAAAACGACCATTTTAGCAATGGTAAGAATGTTGTATGATCTTCTCCTAAAGTCTTTATGATAATTTCTCAATGTCAGCTAAATATGCTCGCATGTTATTTTGGAACGCGGACGGACTTTTGTGCAAAAGAGAAGAATTTTAACACTTTCTTAATAGTCAGAAAATTAAAAATGCTTTAAAAAGTGAGAACCATCTAAAATCAGGACACCTTATAAATTTTTCCAATTACGAGCTTTACTAACATGACAGAACCTACTTGAGAAAAGGGGAAGCAGTCATTATAATTACAAAGCAAATAGCTCATTCGTTTTACACCGATTGCCAAATTAAAACTTATTGAAGCAGTGACTATCAAGATCAATCTTTATGGCCAAGGGAAGATGGTTATCGTTCCTGCATACATGTCTCCGGGACTGCCTTTGTTACCTAAAGAACTGGTCAGTATTTTTTAACCAACGCATAACTGGAATTCTTTCCAGGGATTTGAACTGCAAATATCCTTCTTGGAATAGTAAAGTGGGAAACCCTAACGGATTAAACTGTACAACTACGCTGAAAAAAGAGGCTTTCTTGTTCCCGGTCTTTTAGAAACAACACATATTTACAAAAGGGGTCTCAGACGTACTTGATATTGCCATTATAAAAAACATAACGAAATAACTCAAACTTAACCACGCTAGTGGATCTCTCCTCGGGCCTTTTCCCCGTGCTTTACGAAATTGGCCTTCAGAGTTTAACCCTTTGAAATATATACAGAAGTATAAGGTCTGGAATAAATTTAAAGCGAGTAAGGAAGCCAACAAGGCCAATCCAAATACTTTTGCTTCATCAGTTACTCTCAATGATTTGTTGACCCACTATTCCAGGGGTTTTTTCAGGTCTCCCTAGGGTTGGGGTTGGCTGTGATAGGAGTTTTCAGGGTTTGAATGGTTTACTAAAATGTCGTTACAAACACACTCTCTCATGGCTTGTTGGTCAACCTCTGCAGATAAAATTATTGAGACAGGCCTCATTATTAATAAAATATTTTTATAGTTAGCGATAGTATATAAATCTATTCATATACTATAAGTTTTCAAACTATTTTTACAATTCTATTCGGAAAGTAATGTAAACATCATTATTACTCAATAAAGTTAATATTAAAAATAACCATAAAGCTAAACTTCTGTAATGTATCTTTAATCATCCACAAAAATCAAAGGTTTTTGCATCTTTTATTTATATCTTTTATAGATAAAGTTAGAAGTAGGTAAATTATTTAATCTTGGTTATAGGAATTCAAAAATCTGATTACTGTAACCTCAGTGAACTTTTCTTTTTAGGTTTGAAAGGAACTTCAATTTCTTAGTACTTTAGGTATGTTACACTTTTACGAAACTATATAGCGTAAGCTACACTACCACCTATAGTTTCACTTGACCTCCTCGAAGGTTCAGCTTAAGTCCTTATTTATTTAACATAATATCTTGTTTTACTAATAATTTGAGGTTATAAATTAGATGTTATAAAAAAAGAATTTTTTAGGATTATAAATATGCAACAATACTAAATATCAGTCATTAAAAATTTGAAAGGTAACGTCAGTTTGTTTTGCTGTTAGTTCACCTGCGAAATATGGACTTGGTACGATAAACTATATAACTATGAAAGATCTTGTAAAAGAGATAAATATAAGGCCTCGACGGAAGTATAATAAAGTCAAAGAGTAAAGAGTACTAAATAGCAAGGAACACTTGAAGTGCTAAGACAAAAAGTAATTCAAAAAAATGTTATGTAGTCAAGTAAATTATTTATACTATTACTAATAGATATACCCATAGAAGTATGTAAACAATTCACTTGGTCGCAAAAATCTACCTTAAAAGATTTTATATAAAATATATATTTGATAACATAGTATATAATGAACAAAAGGTAGAGATAACATTTATTTTAAGTAAAAAAAAACACACCAATGGGCCCTAAAACAAAGGTATACAAAATTCCAATTCATCACAGTTTAACTTTAACCCAGACCAAAAATAAAGAAAGCCATCAACCATTAGGAAAAATGAAAAGTAATAAAATTTATGGATTTTCCACAAAAAAATACTTTTTAGTATTATCAACAACTTTTTTTAAAAGACCAGAATCTACTTAAAAATATAAAAGTTTCTCGTATAAAATCTACAGGTGGCCCGCGACGGGCATCAAACAATATATTTAAAAATTCTCTAAAAGTAAAAGAGCCAGAACATTTGTATTTCTTCTATTGTTTTATGTAGTCTAACAAGGTTGCCAATAGGGCCCATATCAGGAGCTATTCCCAAAATGCAATAATCAATTTTATGACTTCTGTCCTCAGACCTCTTATGCCGTGCCCTAACGTCTCCTCTTGTTTATCCACGGTAATGTTACCAACCCTTTCTTAAAGTTATACTACTTAAAAACGAGTTTACCGAACTTAGGGAAAGTCTCCGAGTAGCAGAGCCAAGTATTTTGCTAGGAATTCATACAAAGATCCTCAGTACACATCAGATATTTTTGTAGCCAACCCAGAATTTAATTTGCCCAAGTTCTTCTCGAGTTATACCGTAATTCTTTTAGTCGCTCAACTACAACTGACAACAGTTTCATTAATCCCATTAATGGTTAACACAAAATCACCGGAAATATCGTACATGATTACATTAAATTAGGTAAAGTTAAGGCGTATTATAGACAGCTTTTAATGGCTTGGGGAATTTAAATATATACTAGTAGCTAAAATTTTTATAAGATATTAAGATCCTTATTTATCTAATTTATATAAAAAATTATGTTTTATTAGTTTATATTTGAGTGGATATAAAATTAATATGACAGAATATAATAGTGATCTTTTCAGGTCTTCCTAGGGTTAAGGTTGACTAAGTTGTCAGTACGGCCTCTGCAAATAAAATATTGAGACAGATCTCATTATCATTAATTATTTTTATAGTTAGCAAAAGTTTATAAATCTATTTATATATGATAAGGTTTCATACTATTTTTACAATTATATTCTAGAAGTCAAAAAAACATTTTTATTGAGTAGAGATAACATTTATTTTGAGTAAGAAAAATACACTAATAGGTCTTAAAACAGAAACATACAAAATTCCAATTCGCATTCGCAGTTCAACTTTAATCCAGGCCAAAAATAAACAAAGCCTTCAATCATTGGGAAAATTTTGTTAACAAAAAAAGTTATTCCTCTCCCACCAAAAAATATTTTTTAGTTTTATAAACAACATTTTCAAAAGGCCAACACCTAAAAAATCTAAAAAAATCTCGTATAAATCTACAGGCGCCCTGCGATGGGCATCAAACAATAAATTTAAAAATTTTTCTTAGGTAAAAGAGCCGGAACGTTTGTATTTCTTCTCTGTTCTTTCATGTAGTCTAATTAGGTTGCCAATAGAGCCCATATCAAGAGCTATCCCCCAAAACTTACAATAGTCAACTTTATGGCCTCTATCCTCATAACCTTTTGTGCTGTCCTGACGTCTCATCTTGTTCAGCCGCGGTAATGTTACTAATCCTTTCTGTTGAGATATCAACAAAATCTACTTTTTATTAACAAGTAGTGTTTTGTATTTCTTTTTCTTCATATTTTTAAGTATATTAAAGTTTTCTTAAACGTTTATATATTTTGTTTTATTATTATTATTTATTAATTTTTATATATATATTTTCATTAATTTATTTATTCTTTTATTTATTAGTTTAAACTATTTTTATTGTTTTATACCTTTTTTTAATATATATTTTATATTAAAGAGGCTTTCTGCAACGAAAATCGTATTTCTTATCAGCTTCAAAAGTCTCATTCAACTTTCTGAAGTTAATAAGTTTTCTAAGCGGCCGCTCTTTATATTTTATGTTTTTATAAAAACTTTTATTGTGGATTTTTTTATTTTTATACAATTTTTTTCATAATATATTTTTAATAAAGGAATAATTATAATATTATTCCTATGTACTTAATTTTGATATTTTTATAAATTTTTATATTTATATTATTTCTTATAAAAAATAGTCTATACTTTTGTATTTTAAGAAGAAATGGTAATAATAATATTATATTTTTTATACTTTTTTATTGCATTATTTATAACTTTTGATATATATAATATTATTATTTAGATAAATTTATTAAACTTATGTTATTATACTTCTAGTTATTTCTTATTATATATTATTTATCTTTTAATAAAAATAAGCAAGTATAAATTTTTTTTATTCGAATAATAATAATAATAGAAGACTTAAAATATATTTTTATTATTGGTTTAAACTTTTATGTTTTCTACAATATTTATATTTAATTTTATTTTTATTATAATAAAAGTTTTGTATTATTTATTCTTAAAACTTTTCTTGTATATGTTTAATATTAAAAGCTTTTATTTTTCTATTTTTCTATTATTTTTTTTAAGTTTAATGATATATTTTTCTTAATAAGATATTATCCAAACTTGTTTGTTTTGCAGTACCTCTTTTGATTGGTAGTTAAATAATAAAAATTATAATAATAATTAGTGGTTGCTAACTTTTATTATAAAAGTTTTTATAAAAATATTAATCGCTTTACTATTTTTATAGTATTTTTTACCGTAAAGCTTAACAAACATTTCTTATAACGACTCCAGCAGGCGTTTCTTTTCCGCATAGGCGCTACTTGGGCATGAGCAATTAGCTTTAAATTTTTTTGTAGCCCGGAAAATGCAATAAGTGGGCCATATATATATGAGTTTTATATATGAGTTTTACAATTGGTCTTTATTTCTTTACAAATCAGATGCGCCCCCATCGGATTTATGGTTGGTGGGCACGTGATAGAAACACAGCGCGGAGGATCCTAAAATAGACCAATAATGCTGAGAATAGTTTAGTTTACTATAACATAATAATAATAATAATAATAATAATAATAATAATAATAATAATAATAATAATAATAATAATAATAATAATAATAATAATAATAATAATAATTATATTATAATAATATTAATAAAGTTATATTATTCTTAAATATTTACATAAACTGAATATAAAATCTTCATTTATAGTAAATTTTACTTCTTAAAAAATGGAAATAAATATATTTTTTAAAAATATATAAAAATTTTGATACTCATTATTATATATGAATTATTTTTTACAATATAATTATAATAAATAAAATTTATAAAAAACTATATACTTTTATAGTATTTACTATAGATGATTATTATAATAAGATAAAAAGTAATGATTATAACAAAAAATATATATATAAATTTACTTTAATATAAATATTAACACAATAAAAAAATACTAAAAAAAGGTGTAAAGTTTTTTTCTATTATATTATTTCTTTCTAAAGCATATTATTATTCAACAAAAAAATAAATATAAATAATAAAGGATACATAATTATTATTATGTTATTATATATTATAATTTTCTACATAATAATTATGGTTAAAAAAAAATATATTTTATATGATATGATTGTTAATAAACAAAATTGTATTCTTTGAACTATAAAGTAAATTAATGAAGTTTCTATAATAATAAAATATAATGATATTATTTATATATTTTATATACTAAAAATACCAAAAAAAGATAAATATTTAATAATAATATTTACTATTATGATATGGAATACTTATTTTTAAAATTTATAATAAGCTTTTGTAATGTAAAATTTTGTTATTAAAAAAGAAATATATAAAATAATTGTCACCTAAATTTTCTATTTCAAATTTTTATTATGAATAAATAATTTAATAAAACTTTTAAATAATGAATAGTATAATAATATTTTTTAGATAATAATAAAAATTAATAAAAGTAATTACAAGTAATTAAATTAATAATAAATAAAATAAACATTGTTTAATATTATTAAAGCTTTATTGAATTATTATTAAATATTCATATTTTTATAATCTTAAAAAAAATTTATACTTATAATAAATAATAAATTATAGTCTCACAAATTTCATAAACTATAAAATATTTTTTTATTATTGCTTTTTCTATACTAGTCAGCTCCTTGTATTACCCCCTTTTTATAAGTGTGGCTTTGGAAGTTCGTAATTATTATGATTATTGTAATATATAAAAATTCTGTATTTATTGTTATTACTTACATATAAATTTTGTAAAGGACGAAATACCATATTTTTTCCTATAAAAACCTACAATAGTAATACTATAGTGATTATTTTTTATAATTATTATTATAAGGAAAAAAACTGCTATGAGGCATCTATGACGACTGTCTATCCGATAAGGGAGTTGTTGAGGTTGCAGGTTTGTTCACTACTTTATAGCTTTTCATAAATGTTAAACTCGATATTGGTGCAAAAAAAATTAAAAAATCGATAGTCAGCGCAAAGGTTTTTTATTTGATCTCCTAATGGTTACTTTTTTATTTTGCCGTGGGTAGTGGGATATTCCCATCCTTCAAATTTTTTACTGGTGAATATAAAGCCGTTCAAAGGAAGTTAAAAATAAATTTTATTCTTATTATTTTAATATATAAACTATTCTATTATAAATTTATACTTGTCCATTTAATTTATACAATACATAATAAACTCTTTCAAGAATCATATAAGAAAAATATACGACATTTTTAAACTACAGTTTACTAATCGATACGATAAAGAATGCAATAGAAATTATGGATTGATGGTTAAAAGTAAGATTTATAATAATTATAAGTCTCCTTTGGAAACTCTAAATAAAGCAGAAAAGTTGTTTCTTTTGGACCAAATTTTATAAAGAGCTTGAGGTTTATATAGTATTCATAAATTTATAATAATAATAATACAGAGTTATATCAGTCTTCTTGGACGATTTCTCTTCGTTTTTTTGCGATATAATAAATTTAGAAATAAATTAAAAAAAAAAGTAACAAGTAAAATAGTGAAGAAAATGCCCTGTTTATTTGAATTTATAGCAGAAGTTACTTATTTTATTAGGCTTTTACTAAAACTCCTTTACCACGCGCCCATAGCACGAAGTAAATTATACCATTTGCTAATATATTCCGCATGCTGGTACCTTGTGCTGCTATACCTGCGACTCTACTATCATGCGCTCATAGAACGTGATAATTGCGTGGCAGTGCTCGTGTTATTTTGTGTTTACTCTCCTGTTTTCTCGCTTTATACTATTTATGGTGCTTAAAAAGTTAAGTCAATCAACTTTTCATATATAGAAAGCTATAACCAGGCTAATTATAAATTACACGTCTGTAGTATATATATATTAATAGCTCCAGCTACTGGTGTAATTCAGTTTGTGCGAAACTCCATCATGAGTGTAAGTTCTCTGTGAAATGGTAAATTCAATTTAAAAAACCTCTTTAATTTTTATTAAAAACACTCTGTTGAATTACCTCCTCCCTTCCTATTTAATAATATCATAAGGGCCCTAAACATTGCCCCTTAGGGAAAAGTTATTGAAAGAAGTAATTGAAAGTGAGATGAAAAACGTGTAAAATGGCACATGACTATACACGTGGTCATGCCGTAGGGTATTTCAATGGCATAGTTTAGCACGTGGGATAAGCACTTTGGTGACACAGCAAAGGAAGCGCTTCTAAAAAGTTGTTCAGACAAGCTACCCTCTTAAATTTAAGGGTTTAACAATATCATCTCTACTTTTTGAATTGGTTAACTTTACTGTTTTAAAGTAAAATAAAGGCGATTTATTACATCTTGAGCGTTTAGAAGAAATTTTCAAGTAAAACTGCATAAAATGCCCCGATAGGCGCTGTCATTTTGCCAAAGTGACACGAGGTAATTATTTTTTGTTTATTTAAGAGTACACGGTATAGTTGTAGTGCTTACTTATCTATACATAACTTGCGCGACCAGTACGCTAAGAAAACCAATAAAAGATTGTGCACACTCACTCTTCTGTAAAGTAAGTTATTGCTCTTTGCATTTATAAAAAAAAACTTAAAAATTTTATCCAATAGAAAGATTTTTACGCTATAGTACAATATCTAAGGGCATTCGTTACAAACTTTACTAGTTAATTTAGTATTCAATACTCTGCAATTAATCTGTAAACATTACTCTTAATACCAACTGCAGATGTCTCCTTTATAATAAAGTTTTTGCCAATCCTATCTTTTCGTGTGTTCTAAATATTTTTATATTCTTGAAGCAAGCGGTCTCATCTCGGGTATTTAATGCGTTTTAAAAGTGAATAAAAAAGGAAATTTTAATTAAAAGTATATTAAGTTGGTAAAGGTGAAATAAAACTTAATTAAAATTAGGTTAGTAGCGTATATTATACAGGAAACTACCTTACGCTTGCATACAAATGTGTGAAAATAAAAGAATAATTTTAATCCTCTTCAACCCCTTCCTTGTTAAAAGACGTAACTGCTCATCTTTAAGGCGAACTAACAGCGACAAATATAACCGCGAAGTAGCGTTCGCCTTTGCACGTCTGACGGATTATATAATGCACATAATTAGTCAACGCCACCGGTTGTTATGCCTGGCAGCTGCTACTCGAAGTCCCTGACGACAAACTGATGCTAAACGATCATTACAGGATTATGAGAAAAGAGCTGGCCAATCGCCGAAAGCCAAACTGCAGGGGTTTTCTGTTCCGGCAGACGAAGGAGGATCCTCTTTTTAACGCTTTGTCAAATGAATTAAAGACCGCTGCTATACATCAGCTCCTCCACTTAATAATGGCGTTATATTAGCTAGAAGAGAGTAAGGTAAGGCGGCACTCTTGGCAGGCCTGCCTGCCTCCCACTTCCTGTGTCCTTAGGAACGAAGACAGGACACCGGTGACACGTTAACCTTTGACCATGATTTATTCAACCGTGCACTAACGAGAACCTAAAAAGTTGCCCTCGGAGGCGATTAACCGCCCTGCTCTCTTTTGTCAATTCTGTAGTGTTGCTTGGCTCCTTTTTTAACACGATGGAAAAAAGTCACCATTGCCAATACCCCGTAGCTAGTCAAACTACTCGAAAAAGGTTCTTTTTACATATAAACAATATAAAAGTATAAATAAATTAAATAATTAAAGTATTTGGGTTATTATATTCTCAAATGCGCTTTATTTTAATACAAACTGGTATATGACACAAAAAAATAGTAGGAAGTAACATACAATTGCAACTTTTTAAGGTTTATTAGTAAAAAAAAAATTTATGACTTAGTAAAGAAGGCTTGTTAAAACTTAAATTTGGGTGCGAATTATACGGTAGCCAAGAAGCTCCTTTACAATAGTATATATAATTACTTGATCTAATGTGTATAGAAATGATGAAACTAGCAGTTGCAGATAAGAACGCAAACGCAAAATCAGAAAATATTGCCTACATTTTAATAAGTAATAGACGTACTTGAAATACACTGTTGAAGTCAATAATAATTAAATAACAACAAAAACATGAAAGAAAATATAGTAATACCTAGTAGCTTAATTATCTATTAACGCACTTCTAAAAAGATCTAATAAGGCCAACTTAGGTTGCTGTAAAGTTAGTATAATTTGTTGATAATTAACTTTTTCTCTCAATCAGGAGTGAACGCAAATAAATCACAAATGGGTGTCATTATTTTTTTAAATTAACAAAAAAAAAAAAACTAGCGCTTAAGCGAGTCACGTGGGCTGCGAAAACGTGCCCCTTCCCTTGGCTTTTAAATAAATGCGCTCACCAGCAGGACATCCGTGTGCCTGTCGTGAAGAGTATACAACGGCGTGGTGTTGGCAGACAATGTTTAAAGGTTCCAGCCGAAGATCCCGGTGAAGAACATCATTTCGCACAAACCACGGCGCCTTTGTTAAAATACCCGCAGCAATTTGTTCTGTCGCGCTTGAAGCGCTGACGCTATCGCAATGGAGTCATAAGCCCAAGCAGCAGGCGCGTATGTCATTATTGGCTGGATGTAAGACTAATACAATTGCTGTTTGTTTCGCAGAGAAAGCTTACTCTTGCAGCAAAGGCAAGGATCCTTGGCTGCTGCTTTGTTCTTCGCCCCTAAATAGTCCACGTGAGGCTGCCAGGAAAATTTGTAGTCGATGACTCCAAAGTCTTTCACTTGAGCACACCATGGAAATCTTCACGCCATTAAAAGTTAAGGGCACCAACAAAGAGACGCTTTTCTGAAATTAATACAGCTTTGCTTTTCACCGCATTTATAGTAACCCTCCAATTACGGCGATAGACAGCAAGGGCGTCAAGATAGCGCTTGTGGAAGCTTGCATAGCAAGGCGGGAGACACTTCGAAGAGGGATATCCGGTCGTATCATCAGCGTAAAAGGGCGATTCGTGTGTGTGGGCCGCACGGCAGGGGGACGTCACTCATGTAAATTGCAAGTGAAAGGGGTGAGAGAAGTGATCTCTGAGGGACCCTGCTCTCAGAGATCGAGGCGGCGAACTAGTATTTCTCACGCACGCGCTGAAGCCGCGATCATTCAGATATGATTTCCTCACGTTATAAAGTCCAAGAAGGACGGATAACTTGCGCAGTTTGTGCAGCAGACTTTCATGCCAAACTTGGTCAAAATGCCTTTTCAACGTCAAAGAAAACAGCCTCTCTTACCTTCTTATGGTTAAAAGCGAGAGCGGTTCAAACAGTTAAGCGGAGGAACTGCTGAGTCGATGAGTGCCCTTGCCGAAACCCAAACTGAAATTCCGGTAATACTTTCTGAGCGTCAATGACCTCTTTAAGACAGCGCAGTAAAACGGTCTCGCTCAACTTTGCCCGCTGCTGACGGTAGACTGACGAGCCGGTACTTGCTAGATGCTGGTTCCGGTTTAATTGTTTTTGGTAGCGTCACAACTTTCACCGTCTTCCATCGACTCTGAAAGACTCCAGGGAGCATCAAAAGATTTTATATGGAGGTAAAGATAGCGCCTAAGTTTTGAACCATTCTGCGTTCGCACTCTAAAAAACAGCAAAAATAGAGAGTGGGTGTGCAGTTCGGAGTTTAATACATGTGCGTGCGCGTACTAGGCATCCCACGTGAACCCTTACTAGACATCCGTTCCCGGGCTTACTGCTACTTCAAATTCTACGAATACGCTGGCCATGACTTTAAAGGGTAGTACAAAAGTCACAAGTTGTAACTTTAATAGGCAAATAACTTTTTCGAAGCTGCGTAAGGCGGTCATTTTAGTAATTAAAGACAGGGTTCCTATTTTACCATGTGTTAGGTCAAGGGTTATGTTTTGCGCTAATAAACTTATAAAAAAAACGAACACCATAATCCTTATACAACATAAGGTCGGTGGATCCTTAACGGCATGATCTTTCAAGAATGCT